TTCAGAAAACAAACGCTCTGTCATTGATCGATCAGATCTCAACATGCCAGCATGATGAATACCAAGACCATATTCAAATAACTCTTTTAATTCTTTATTTCTTGATTTCATAACATCTCACTTTCTAAGATTATACCCTTCAAGAGTAGACACATCAAATAAATCTGATATTTATTTATTAATATAAATAGGACTTTTAGCTTGTGAAAAAATTTTCTTTTATAACAAGAAATGAAATTAGTCGTTACCTGAACATCCATATTCGTATGCAAACTCATGTAGTACCTTTGCCGTTTTAACGGTATCTTTACGTGAATGAACAAAAATCATCACTTGATGTTTTTCTCTGACGAGATCCAAGACCTATAGAACGATAAAAAAAAAAAAGTTAAAAATATTCAATAAAATTTAAATAAAAATACTCAAATTCTTACTTTCTTCCAGCAAATAATATTGAGGTTATTATTAGAAATAATTGAGCCAGGCTTACCCTCGACACCAATAAAATGTTGTTCTAACGGTACAGTTCTAAAACCACCGTCAAAATAAAATAATCCCTCGGCACCATTTTTTAGGTCAACTCTGATAGAATAAAAAATATATTTAAAACATATAAAGTCAATTAAAATCGAATATATCGTAAGAATATAAATACCCTAAAAATCGAGCTACATCAATATAATTGGGTAACGTAGCGGAAAGGCCTACAATACGGATCATTTTTTGACTAGATTCAATCTAGAATGAATTCGTAAAAATCATTTACTAAACAACAAAATTGTATGTGAACAAATAGATAATGACTGTTTAAAATTGTATAATACCTGACGACGGGTACGTGCGATTAAACTTTCCAGAACTGCACCTCGATCCTCAAGTAATAAATGAATTTCATCAATAATAAGAAGTCTCACTTTCTGCACATAATGTTAGTTTATCATAAGCGATATGTAGATTTTATTTGAAAATTATAATAATTTATGAAAAAAAAAAAAAAATACTTGAGAAAGCTCGACGTCTCCGATGCTTTTTCTTGTAATTACATCCCATATTTCGGGGGTTGTAACAATGATTTGTGTATTTAAAATTTCAGACTTAGTCAGATGCATGTTTCCTAAATTATTAATATAAATTTAGTTTCACAAATAAATAATACTGTGTACTTAACGGAAATTATCAATTAAAATACCTGTAAGTTCTCTAACTTGCACATCAAGCCACTTTAATCGATCCCCGAGATTTTTTACAATTTCGGCAGCTAGAGCTTTCATAGGAACAATATACACGATTTTAAAATCATCTCGATATATTATAAACTCTTGAGGCTCCTGTTGGACCAACGGTTCCGGAAAGCAATAGCACTTTATCGTACGTAGTATTGTAAGAATGGCTATATCTGTCTTTCCCTATATTTAATAAATTTGTTAGGTAAATATATTCAGCTTCAATATGCGAAATTAATACACACCGCTCCGGTAGGGGCACAAATTAATAAATTTTCATTTTTTTTATATGCAACAGGGTAAACAAGTGATTGTACACGATTCAATGTTTTATACTATTGAATTAAATTAAAGTTAAAAGGTGATTCATATTATTTAAAGAAATAGAATGTATGTAAACACTTGCCTTAAACGAACCTCTACAAAGATTATCGATTTCATTCAGATGAATTAGTCTTTCATTTTCTATCTGTGGAGCTCGCCTAGTAATTGGAATGATAATTTCTTCGTGATCCTATATAAATAATTATAGGTTAACTTTAAATAATCTGATAAAACTTTATCATAAGATGAATTACTTACATCAAAATCTTTACGTATAGTGCCAACTGGCAGAGAATATGTGGTTCCAAACACGGAAATTACGTGATTCGTATGGGCGAAGACGTGTTTATAATTTTCGGATGGAGTAAACTAGATAATATGAATGTTAAATATTTAAATATATATAAATTATAATAACTAATTTATCAGACATATGTTAAAGAAGATATTGAATGATGAAAATCTAACACTTACGGTACGCAATGCTTGTTCCCGAATGGCTCGTAATTTGTCAGCACTAAACCCTAAAATATTTGCAGAGTTCAAATCTTCTTCCTCTTTGCAAAAATGGAATTATAAAGATATTACTTTTTTTTTTAAACAAAAAAGGTTCAATCATCTATCTAATATATATATATATATATATATAAATATAAATAAGGAGCAATAGACACCTGTGCTTTTTTTTTTGCTGTTCTTTTTCTGCTCCCTCCATGAACGCTTTGATATCCTTTTATTATCTGATTGATGTTTATCTTTAATTATAGTAATAGAGGATTTCTTCTGTGAATCATATATAAAATGGGACCAGAATTAAATAAAACTTGTGCAATAAAAGATTGAAATTTCAACTTAAATTCATAAATTAGACTTACTGGTGGGGTTTCTACTAATAGTGATTTACTAATAATATTTTCAAGGATTGTCAACCGTTTAGTTACCAGTGTAATAACAAAATTTAGGTTATCAAAGCCAATGAGATCGACCAATTCTGTTTGAATATCGTCATCTGGAAAATATTATAAATAGTAAATTGATTAAAAGAAACAAAGCAAAATTATAATCTTACAATACTAACCTCCCATATCTGACCTTAGTAATGTAAAAATGCTAGTACATAACCTTTCGGGAGTTATCGCTCCATCTGCATCACAGAATGAGGCAATATGTAATCGACATTGTCTGGAGATCCGATTATGATCGTAATTAAATTTAGCAAAAGAAAATTAATTATACAAAGGAAAAACATAAATAAGTAAATCAAAATATATACCTACCCTAGTAACCATTCCTTGTCATATGACACATTTTTATCCAGGTCAAAGTCGAGATCTTCATCATGTGTACCAGAATCACTATCGGAATAGTCATCATAGTAATATGTAGATGGAAGGTTGTTATATACAAGATCAGATCCATATTCATCTTCCAATAATTCATCATCTAATGGATATCGAGAGAACGTTTCATATAGGAAAAAAAAAAAAGAGGGAGTTTACTTTATATAAATATGTAAAAACATACCTCGAAATTCGTTTTGAATACTACGTGTTAATTGAAAGGTTCAATTATTAAAAAGAAGTTGGATAAAAATAACCTCACAACTATCCAAAGAAATTTCAATAACCTTCGACTTTTTTGAAGAATTTCTTTGAAATTCGACAAATTTGTCTTCCATTCTTCTTGAACTTTATTTGCGTGCTTTAACAAAAGTGTTGCAAGATTAGCCGTATTGGCTTTTCCTTTACCCTTTTCCTTTACTTCATTTTGACGTAACAAGTCAGAAATTTTTAAGTAACCGGGAACGTTCATGGTGTAAAGAGGAAACTTTGAGAAAGTGAATGAACATTGGCGCAATCAAAAATTCCGGAAAAACTATCCGCCAATCGGAATTTTTACGTCATGTCAATCATAATCATCAAAGTTGTGGCACAATTTACCCGAAAATCTTGCAATAACTTTAATGATGGGTGAAATTAACCACTTTAAGCACACTAATGAACCATATATAGATCAATTAATTTCTTTGGTCAAGAATCAGCAACATGAGCACAAAGCGACTTTTTCAGTTGAACATTGTAGAGAGACGATGCAACTTTTACAGAAAGAATGAAAGACAAAGGAACAATTAAAGATAAACGACAAAAGAATATATATCGGAAACTGATTTATTTATGTCAAAGATTTTTAATTTTGATATCAGATATAGTATATATTCGATATGATGAGAGCTGTAGAAAATGATAGAACTGAATAACTTCATTCATAATCATGAGATTGTGAAATCATTAAATCACACTATATATGACATAAAGTATTTAATTTGACCAATCTGATTTTTCTAAAAATTAAAAATTACTATAGCCATCATCAACTATGAAGATGGAGCGAGCGAAAACGTAATATTGATAATACGATATATTCTCAGATCCAAATACGTTGTCAGTTCAGTCCATCCCTCAACTAAAGTAAATGATGATGCAATCATGAAAGATTTTTAATCCGCAGCCAGAATAATTTTGTATTGGTCAAAATTATAGTAAGTAAAAATTTGTCTGACATTTACAATAAATTCTGGAAGAAGGCATTTACGAAGCATTTTGGATGACATTTACGATAATGATAATTTAAGCAATAACTTATTTAGGATTAATAGATTTATTAATGATAAATAGATATTGGCTATACCGATCAATAGCAGATATGGGGGAAAACAGAATGTGCTTGCGAAAAACTGTACGAAGGAAAGCTTGGACAGCAGAGAGGAAAGGGAAAAGGGTCGAAACCAAACAAAAGTGTTCGCGTAAAGAACGCTTAATTTATAAGGAAATTTTAATATGACCTTCATGCTCTGGATTAAATACGCCGCCATTCATATCATTGTATTTTACAAATTTTAATAAGTATAATTTAATAATTTTCATTATGCAACTTTGAAATATTATATCTATTATTAGTATATTGTACATTTGTGGATCGCGATATAAATCATAAGAATTCAAATTGTTTCGTCTTTGAATAAGATTTATTTTATTTATGAGTTTTCCTATCCCAAAGATTGATTCCAAAGATTGATTCAAATGTCGATCCTTAGGCACACTATAAATTATATAAGATAAGCATACCAGTCAACCCTCTCTATAGTCACCCATATATAGCCGAAGGGTGTGACTATATAGAGGGTTGACTGTATATGAAAACGCTAGTGAAACAAGCACATCGTCTATTATTTGGCCAAAATAATTCGTTTTGCAAAAACGAACGCCATAATGAAAATTAGCAATGAGAAAAGACATTTATTCCATATTGTTAAGATATTGTTACGCTGAATGTAATTTTTGAAGATCATTTGCCAGGCATTTTTGATGATGTCAGCCAGTATGACAAAATGTCAAGATGCCAGGCTGACCTAATTATTATTTTTATAAATATGAGCTGGAAATCCTTAAACAGCTCAACATTCCACGCTCGCCCTTCTTGTATTTGCATACATACTCCCTTCGCGATTTTTTCGCTTTCACCATTTTAACATTAAAATTTTCGTATTTGTAACTTCGTTTATTTTTTTTAATTTCCGATTTTCTTATTATTTTATTCAATTTTTCGTAATTGTTCTTAATTGCGCAGTTTTAATTGGCATTTACTCAGTTTAATATATTGCGAAAGTGTAGAGCGCCGAAGTTCTGATTAATTTGATATTATCAAATAAATATTTGTCACAATTTCTTCATTTTTACTTCATAATTATTCAATAAAAACCTTCTGCTTACAAAATTGTTTATAAATACAAAACGATAATTTTAGTTAACAATATTTTAGTTATACTTTGTAAATCAATTATCCATGATTTCTTCCGGACCAATATGTTCCGTGGACAAAATTTCTTTGCAAAATTGTCCATATGCCAAATTCTCCTCTACACAAATTGCCCTTTGGCCAATTTGTCTTTTTCAAAATATAATATATAAACGATGGGTTTTTTCCTGAGGAAATAGAAACATTTGATATTGCTTACCTTTGCATTACGCAACAATATCGTCTCATAAATGTTCTATTAAATCCAAATTATCCACTCATTACCCAGGAATAGAAACTAAGTTTTTCTTTCTTATGATGACTTCGAGCTACTGTGCCAAATCAATGAGACGCGTGATTTCAAAATTAATGTGATGTAATACTGCGTCTTACAAGATGCTTAAGAATTTCTCGGTGAATATTAAGAATAGAAAACCTCTGAAATGTTTATACATCTATGAAATGGAAAGTCAATTATTAAAGTGATGGAAAGTTGTTATATAATCAAGCATTTCCAATATACCTTAGATTTTTTATTCTCGGATTTATTCTCGAGCAATATTAAGTATAAATAATTGTTAACAATTGATAGTTTTTATTTGATTTAAGCAAAGCGGATAAAAAGGATCAATGAGTAAAACCTACTTCCTTTTTATACCTGTGGTCAAAGCATCGAATTCTTTATCATTTAAGTATGATCGCATCATAAAACTGGATATCTCTAAAGGCTTATTTCGCATATGTGGAAAGTTCAAAGAAATATTATTTCACGGGATTTGATGTGTATAATTTGGCAGTTTTTACTAGTTCACTACTCAGATCAGATAAATGTATTTTTCCGCAGATTTTTTAAAAAATGAATCCAACAGAAGTAATCACTAACTACTACATATCGAAAATCTACGTCCTACGAATCAATGCTTCTTAACGTTGTATAAGCTTGGAAAACTAAAAATTTATTTAACGATTTTTGTAATTACATTTTAAAGCTTCATTTATTTCGTTTATAATTTCATTTGGATTTCGATTTATTCACATTTTTTTCAATTTTTTTTTTTGATGTTTTACTTTAAAGACATTTAAATCATAACAATTCAAAGGTTTGTTCTGCTGAAATATTTGAAAGCTAATTTTGTATAACAAAAAAATTTACTGTTCATACATTTGTACAAATTACAAAAACAAAAAAAATTCTATCCGGGACTAAACTGCATTGTGCGTTGCATCAAAGATTTCAAAAATGTCAATGGAAATATCAAATATTCTATATTATCTTTAGTTCTTTTTATATCAACATATATAGTAAATTAGAATTTTTTTTTTATAAAATAGTTCCGTAGGTCTGAGTTCTGACACAGTTTTGCAATAACAGGCCTTAGATAAGACTTGTAAACTTTATTATATATCTTTCAGATTGATTGTTATATTAATCACATATTGGAGTTATAATTGTGAAATTGTATCAAATCTTTGAACCTGAGTAAATTTTGTGTTAGATTCGTTATCCTAGTGTCAATTCAATTCCAAGTTAACATCGGCAACCAGACAACTCTACACCTAACAAGTTTCGTCATTATATATGAATTTTGATGTAAGTATAATAATTGAATTATTCTGTAAGATTAGTCCCTCTTTCCATATTATTCAAATATTTGTTATAATTTATATAAATTAATACACATAAACATATTACGTTCATTTAGGTATTATATTCTTTTTAGTAATTAATAAGTCTTTTTTTTATTAAACTCATAGATAGGTCCAAAAGCTTGCTATTTGTAAGCCTTTTTTGTACTAAAAAGGTTGAAGATGGATTCTGTGTACACAATTAGATATTGTATATTTGGAAGAAAGCATACTTAATGTAAGAATATATTTTTTAAACATTTGGAATTTTATCTAGAATTTTATAAACACGATGAAAATATCAAATTATTTGAAATAAATGTATAATCTTTATTTGTTATATTTTATAAACTATGACAGGCTCCTTTTGAATTTCATTTTCTGATATATCTCAAGTATACAGTAGTGGCGGAAAAAATGGCAGTCGCGATCATGTGATTAAAATAATGATTTACATTACATCTGATTGGACAACACAAACCAATTTTTTGTTTAGTTGTTTACTATGTTACACTGATCAACATGCATAAAAAAACTGAACACAAGAGTGCCTCATAATTGATATGATATAATAATGCTACAAAAAATTTCTATTAAAGAACGACGTGAGGTAATTAAGTCATTGTGAAATAATAGAACACGAAATGTAAACGAACTACACAAAATTATCAAGTTCCCACTAAGGACACTGTATCGGCGGTCATCTCAGTTAAAAAAAACCAAAAATTTAAAACAACGATGTCGTCCAGGACATCCAAAAGTTTTAAGTCCAAAAAAGTGGCGTCACCTTGGTCAGCTCGCTCATTCGCGTACTGGTGCAACAAGTTTTGAAATTGCAGACACTCTTAATAATACTTACCCAGGTCTTAATATAGCCACTTGCATAGTCTGTGAGAACCTTTGGAAGCTTAGTTACTGAGTTTGTGTTCCTAAAAAAACCCCATTTCTCACTTCAATTGCAAAAGAAAGACAAGTTTCTTGGGCAGAAGTTCATAAAAATAAAAATTGAAAAAATATGGTTTTTTCTGATGAAACGACCTTTCAAATGTTCCGTAACACCACCTTAGTTCGTTATAAAGAGGGTGAAGAAAAACCAACTTGTGAAGTTGTCAAACAACCATTTGAAGTTCATGTTTGGGGGCTTTTTGTTTGCAAGAAATCGTTGGGTTTTACATGTTTACTGAAAACATGTATGGGGAATTATACTGTGAAATTTTAACAAATAATCTTTTTGATCAAGCATATCAGCTTCTTAGAGGGTCCTGGACATTCAAACAGGACAATTATCTGAAGCATAAAGCCAAACTTACGGTGTCTCTTCTCAAAAATCGATGTCTCGCAATTCTCGATTGGCCGTCATATTCTCCAGATCTGAATTCAATAGAAAATTT